CGCGGGCAGGACCCCCGGCAGCCCCGCCGGGGGAGGCTGGGTTGCTGCCGGTGGGTACTCGGCCCGGTGCGGAAGGGCGACGATTGGACCGTTTCCAGATGGGCCAACGAACCGCAACGGGGGCGGGGGCCGGACGAACAAGGAGCGGGGGAAGCACAGGGCCCGGGGGCAGCGGGAGGGGGGAGCAGGGGGGGGGAGGCGAAGGCGAGGGAGAGGAGGGAGGGGAGGGGAGGGCGCACCCAAGGGAAGGCCGGGGGGCGACGGGGCCGAGGGGCGACGGGCCGGGGGAAGGCCCCAAAAGGGGGACCCAGGGCCCAGGGCGCAGGGGCCAGAACGGGGCCCTGGGGGTTCCTCGGGCCCGCGCCCTTCCGCTCCGGCTTAGTTCCTCGCGCTGCCGATCTGCGCCACGGCCTGCGCGACCACGGCGCACCGCAGCGGAGCGGCGCCCAGGGGGCCACGGCCAGCGTCGCCTGCCCGCTCAGACGCCCCGGGGCCGCCGGGGAGCCGCCGTCTCGAGGAGGTGTGCCTCCCTGGGCGTAAGGCCCGCCGCCGCGGCCGGTGTCTGGGGCTGGGGTTGGCGCCCGAGCGTCCCTGCGGCTCGGCTGCAGAACCCCAAGAGGTGGGTCGTCGTCTCCTGGGATTGGCCGCAGAACCGGCAGGGCGGCACCGTCCCCGCGGCGTCCCGCACGAGCGCGCCCTGGAGGCACAGGCGCGCCCACGCGCGGACTTCAGGGAGCGAGGCGCCAGCCGCACTATGCTGGAGCGCCGTGGGGCCCGCTCCCGCCGCGCGCGCCAGCGCGTCCCGCTGGGCAGGGTCCGCGCGCCAAGAGTGCTCCTGCGCGTGCGCCGCCGCTCGGACCTGGCGGCGGTACTGCGCGCGGGCCCCGACCCCCGCTTGGGGCCCGGGCGGGTCCGGGAGGTGCCACCGGACAAGCAGCTGCCGGACGTGCTGCACCCAGGAGCCCGCGGCCTGCTCCGCGAGCGCGAGGACCTCCCGGGCCTCCACGTACCTGGGGTCCGCGAGCACTCGGCCGTACAGGCGGATCGCGCGCTCCTCCATCATCGTGGACCATCGGCGCGCCCATCCCATATGGTGGAGAATGAGGACGCGCGGGATGGGCCCGCGAACACCCAGAGCATCTCGGCCCCACCGCTCTTGGAGGCTGTTTAGGGTCGTCGCGAACCCCTCCGCGTGGGCGCACAGCTCGGCTCCATGCGCCACCTTCGGGAGCGTGCTGGCAGTCAGGCCTAGGCTCAGCTCGTGGAGCGCGAAGCCGAGGTTCTCCATGATCATGGTGTGCTTTCGCCCGACTCCGAGCGCCTGCCGCTCGATTGCCCGGAGGTGCGCCTGCCCGGGTGGCGCGGCCGATCGCTGGACGCCGAGGCACCTGTACTCGTCCACGAACCCGACCCCGTGAATGGGCCGCGTGTCTGGTAGCCCCCTGGCGAGGATGGCCGTCTTCGTCGGCCCGTACCGGAGGTGGCCTCGGTGGCGCCGCGCGGCGCTCTGGAGCGCCTGGACAATGAGGCCACACTGCGCCCTCGACCCGGCCTTGGCTCGGACATCGTCCACGAATGCCCGCGGCCCGATCCGCTTCTGGGAGAAATGATCGAGGAGGCCCAGCCGGACCGCGTCTGTGGACGCGCCCGCCATGCAGGCGTCCCAGTCTGCATGCCCGTCCGTGATGAGGGCTGCCCACTGGTCGATCTCCTGGACGTCCAAGGTCTCTGCGTCCGTGCCGTCGCGGTGCACCCAGTATGCCGCCAGCGCCGCCGGTGGCGGGTCCAGGCCTAGGCCCACGCCGGGCGTGGCCGCGACCTCCTCAATCTTGGCCGCGTTGGCGAGGCTGTACTGGGCCGGGCTTAGCGCTCTGCCTTCGGGCATGCCGACCTGCGGCCTGAACGGCCGCGTTCGCTCACCTCGCCCCGTGACCGAGACGGTAGTGCCTCGGAGCATCGCCTCGGCTATGAGCCACTGTCTCCCGGCCACTCCCGCCCGGTCGTGCATGGCTACCATGGCGTCCTCCTCCTCCTCCTCTGCCGCCTCCCCCATCCCTCCTCCTCCTCCTCCTCCGCCTCCTCCTCCTCCTCTCTCACCATCCTCACTCCATCCGCCTCCCCTCCCTCCTCATCCTCCTCCTCCTCCTCCTCCTCCTCCTCCTCCTCCTCCTCCTCCACATACTTCTCCCCCCGCCTCCTCCACCACCCCACTCTCCCGCCTCCTCCTGCCTCCTCCTACCTCCTCCTCCTCCACCTCCTCCATCTCCTCCTCCTCCGGACTCCAACTCCTCCTCCTCTCCTCCTCCTCCTCCTCCTCCTCCTCCGCCTCCTCTCCTCCTCCTCCTCCCTCCTCTCCTCCTCTTCCTCCCCTCCTCCTCCTCCTCCCACTCCTCATCTCCCCACTCCAGCCTCCTCCTCCTCCTCCTCCTCCTTCACCTCCTGCTCCTCTTCTTTCCTCCCTCCTCATCACCTCCTCCTCTGCCCGCATCCTCCCTCCTCCTGCTCCACATCCTCCTCCTCCTCACTCCTCTTATTCCTTTTCTTCCTCCTCCATCCTCCTCTCCCTCCTCCTCCTCTTCATATCCTCCTCCTCCTCCTCCTCCTACCGCCTCCTCCTCCTCCCTCGCCTCCTCATACCATCCGCCTCCCTCGCTCCTCTCTCCCTCCCTCCTCCTCGTTCTCTTCCTCCTCCTCCACCTCCTCATCATCTTAATCCTCTTCTACCCATCATCATCATCATCATCATCATCATCATCATCATCATCATCATCATCATCATCATCATCATCATCATCATCATCATCATCACATCATCATCTCCATCAGCAGGGTCATCATCATCATCATCATCATCATCATCATCAAGCATCTCATCAATATCATCCTCTCTCTCACATCATCCTCGCATCGATCTGCATCATCTCATCTCATCATCAGCATCATCATCATCATCATCATGATCATCATCATCATCATCATCATCATCATCATCATCATCAGCATCATCAACATCATCAACGTCATCATCATCAGCATCATCAACATCATCATCATCAGCATCATCATCATCATCGTCATCACCATCAGCATCATCAACATCATCATCAGCCGCATCATCATCAGCCGCAACAACATCAGCATCAACATCACCATCGTCAGCATCGTCATCAACATCATCATCAACACCGTCACCACCATCATCATCATCATCACCACCATCATCATCATCATCATCATCATCATCATCAACATCATCATCTACATCAGCATAATCATCAGCATCATCATCAGCAGCATCAGCATCCTCACCATCACCATCACCATCACTATCAGCATCATCATCAACATCAGCAGCATCACCATCGCCATCGTGATCACCATAGTATCACCATCATCACCATCACCATCACCACCAGCATCGTCATCGTCATCGTCATCGTCATCATCATCATCATCATCATCATCATCATCATCATCATCAGCATCAGCATCAGCATCATCATCAGCAGCATCATCATCATTCTCATATCATGAACATCACCATCACAAGCAGCAACATCGTCATCATCATCTCAAACATCATCATCATCATCATCATCATCATCATCATCAGCAGCAGCAGCATCGTCATCATCATGATCAGCACCATTCCTCATTCTTCCTCCTTCTCCTCCTCCTCATCCTCTTCCTCCTCCTCTTCCTCCTCCTCCTCCTCATCATCCTCCTCCTCCTCTCCTTCTGTCCTTCCCCCTCCTCCTCCTCCTCCTCCTCCTCCTCCTCCCTCCTCCTTTCCTCCTCCTCCTTCTCCTCCTCCCTCCTCCACCTCCCTACTCCCTCCCCCCTCCCCTTCCTCCCTCCTCCCTCCTCCCTCCTCCCTCCTGCCACCTCCCTCATCCTCCTCCTCCTCCTCATCCTCCTCCTCCTCCTCCTCCTCCTCCTCCTCCTCCTCCTCCTCCTCCTCCTCCTCCTCCTCCGCCTCCTCCTCTCCTCCTCCTCCTCCTCCCCCTTTTTCCAACCACCTTCTCCGCCTCCTCCTCCTCCTCCTCCTCCTCGTCCTCGTCCTCCTCCTCCCCTCCTCCTCCTCCTCCTCCTCCTCCTACTCCTCCTCCTCCTCCCCCTCCTTCCTCAGCCTCCTCCTTTTTCCTTGTCCTCCGACCTCCTCCTTTTCTCCTCTCCTCCTCCTCCTCCTCCTCCGCGCCTCCTCCTCCTCCTCCTCCTCCTCCTCCTCGTCTCCTCCCTCCTCTTCCTCTTCTTCATTATCCTCCTCCTCCTCCGCCTCCTCCTCTCCCTTCCTCCCTCCTGCCTCCCCCCGATCCCCTCCTCCCGCCTCCTCCTCCCTCATACCTCTCCTCATCCTCCTCCTCCTCTCCCTCGTCCTCCTCCTCCTCCTCCTCCTCTTCCTCCTCCTCCTCCTCCTCCTCCTCCTCCTCCTCCTCCTCCTCCTCCTCATCCTTCTCCTTCTCGTCCTCCTCCTCCTCCTCCTCCTCCCCGTCCTCCTCCTCCGCCTCCTCCGCCTCCCCGTCCTCCTGCCAGAGAACCTGGTCATGTCATAGAAACGCCCATCAGATCGCCCTTCCCCTGGTTCCCAGGCAGGGCCCTGAGGTCAGCTGACACGTCATGCACCTGCCCCTTTTGCCAAGCAGTCTGAATTATCTGAAAGTGCACTGAAGAAGTGTAGGCAGTGGTAGAGCGGACGGGGGAGGACTGTCTCGCTTTCCAAAATTTGGATATGCAGCAGTCTCGGGCCGAATGGCTGCTTCGGGTTGATGATTGCATCACGTTGCCTCCTGAAC